ATAAAAGCTTTCTTTTGAAAATATCTGAAAGAGGCGGGCAGTGGTGGTGTACGCCTTTAATCCCAGCACTCGGGAGGCAGAGTTAGGCCAATCTCTGTGAGCTAGTTCCAGGACAGGTTCCAAAAGAAACCCCTGCCCGGAAAAAAAAAAAATATCTGAAAGAAAAGAAGAAAAAAGTCAAAGTCAAAATCAAAATCATCTGGTATGGACTGTTTCCAATGACATCACCTAGTCTCCTATGATATGATTTTAAGTACTGCATTGTTTTTCATCATCTGGAATTCCCACGGTTTGGTCAACAGATGCACTATTGGGCATTTAGGTTTTAGTGGTGGTTATTATTAAGAAAGCTGTGATAAGCAACCTTGTAGCTAGCTCTTTGTGTGCAGAAGTTTCTCGCTTCGCAACAGCCTTGGACATCAAAGGCATCCCTCTACTGTAAATCTCTGTCCAGTTCTTCATGCAATAAAACCTTCTCTGTCACTCACGGTTCATACCCAGCTCACGTCATGGTTGGACGAGATGGCCGTATTGCTGTTTCCCCAGCCGTCTAGGCTCTCTGCTTCCATAGTCATTCTGGTGGGAGGAAGGGGAAGACGAATTATCCACCGGCTTTTGAAGCTCCCACCCTAAAATACCACATGCTTCATCCCGGAGCACTTCAAAGTGAGTCCGATGACTCAGCCTAGCTTGTGCAGGGTTGGAGCAGCAGCATCCTGCCTTCTGCCAGGATGGCTGACTGTGGGAACACTTCTAAGTTACATATGGGGTTTGCGCAGTTTCTGGAAGATAACCCATTATCAAGTTAAGAGGAAAATCTGCGAGCTTTGCTTAGAGTTTGTGAAGAACTGTTCGTCTATCAGGAAGTGGTGCTAATGTCTGTCAATGACTACATGCCTTCTGTTTGATAGGCAGATGTGAACCTCTCCCCCCCCCCTCGCGCCCTTACTTTACCAGTACATTCATACGTATTTTGTCTCTGTCCAGAACCTTCTCCGCAGCCCTTCTCAATTGCATTCCCTGGTTAATTTCTTAGGTTTTAGCGCTCACTCATTCACTCAACACACATTTCCTGGGCAATACTACGTGACATATGCCATTCTTGGCATTTGGGGACAGCAGTGAACTAAGCAGACCAAAGCCCATGAGGGTCACACCAGAGTTAGGAGAGGAACATAAGCACAGAATGAACGAGTGGATTAGAGGGGAGACGAGGGGAGCGGATGGGGAAGAGCGGCCAGACTACACCATTTCAGGGGCCTGTCTCAAACTAGGGGAAGGGGAGCTAGGCAGATTTCTGATGAAGACTGTTCTAGAAGGAGGCAGCTCCAGGGCAAAGGCCTTAGTGTAAGCGATGTCTGGTTTGTGGAGGAGCTGAAGTTGGATGGGTGAGGTCAGTAAGGGAGAAGAAATTAGGAAGGGCAGTGAAAGGAGGTCTTGGGGGCCACAGGAGGTCCTTGAGTACATCTTGGAGCAAGATGGGACTCCTCAGGGTTTGAGAAAGGAGGGGCAGAATCTTACTGATGCTTTGAGGAGCTCCCCAGGGTGGCAGTGGTAGTTGCATTTAGGACAAGATTAGGAAGAGAAGAGCCAGGTAAGGAACGTTCAACAGTAAGTCAAGTGCGTGTAACCGGATTCGTGAACTCTACTATTGCAGTGTGTGTGTTTGTAGACCAGCCTGGCCTCGAACTCACAGAGATCCATCTGTCTCTGCCTCCCGAGTGCTGGGATTAAAGACGTGCACCACCACCTGGTAACTGTGTGTAATTTTTATGGTTACTTGTTTATTTCTTGTTTTGGGTGTTTATTTGTATCTATGTCTGTATCACGTGTACGCCTGGTTCCCTCAGAGCCTAGAGAGGGTGTTATTTCCCCTGGGACTGGAATTACAGACCATTATGAGCTGCCTTGTAGGTGCTGGAAATTGAGAATCAAGCCTGAGTTCTCTGGAAGAGCAGCAAGCGCTCTTGTCCACTGAGCCATCTCTTTAGTCTCCAATTTGTTTATGTTTTTGAAAAATAAATTAATAAGACTGGGCAAGGTCACTTATGCTTGTAATCTCAACATTCAGTAGTCAGGAACTTAATGAATTAGAGAACAACTTGAGCAACACAGGAAAGTCCTGTCCTAACAGCAAAAACGGGGGACAGTGAGATGGCTCAGGTGGGAATGCCCCCTACGGCCAAAGCTGGCAGCCTGAGCTGCTTGACCTCTGGACTTGTGTGGTAGAAAGAGAGAAACTGTCTTCTGTGCTCCATATGTGTCATGGTGCACATGTGTGTGTACACAATACACACAATAAAAAACAAAATGTTAAGAACCCAAACAGAGACAAAATTAGTTAAAAATGCTCCCACAGTAAATGAATAGCAAATAAAGGTGTTCACATCAAAGTATTGTTGCAAATGTGGAAGAAATGGGATAAATATATATATTTTATAGTTCACAGAAAAAACCAGCATGCATGGTGATTTGCACACCTTTGATCCCAGCACTAAGGAGGCAGAGGCAGGTGGATCTCTGTGAGTTTGAGGCCAGCTTGGTCTATAGAGAGTTCCAAGACAGCTAGGGTTGTTACCAAGAGAAACCCTGTCTCAAAAAAACTAAAAATATATAAATAAATAAAATTTACAGTCCACAGGAAAAATCCAAAATGATTTAAAAAAATAAAATTTATAGATCACTGAGTTTCATCATCTTTACAAGTTTGTGCAACAGTTGCAACTGTCTAACTCTGGTCATGGATAGGATAGCCTCCTCCCACTGTCTACCTTAGAGTTGGGATAGCCTCCTCCCACTGTCTACCTCTGTTCGTGGATAGGATAGCCTCCTCCCATTGTCTACATTACAGTCGTGGATAGCCTCCTCCCACTGTCTACCTTAGAGCTGGGGATAGCCTCCTCCCACTGTCTACCTTAGAGTTGGGATAGCCTCCTCCCATTGTCTACCTTACTGTCGTGGATAGCCTTCTCCCATTGTCTACCTTAGAGTTGGGATAGCCTCCTCTCAAAGAAATGCAACATTCATTCTGCTCTCCCTGACATCTACTCTCTGTTTCTGCAGATCTACCTGTCCTGGGAACTTTATATAAATGACATGCAGCTTTTTGTGTCTGACTTCTTTCACTTGGTCACTCTTTCCAAGGGCCATCCATATTGCATTATCAGTATTTCATCCTTTTATACCCAAATACTAGCCCATTTAATATAAGTTTTTTATAAATTGATTGACTTTTTTCTATTTTCTTTACTTAAATTTTTTTGGGGGGGAAATCAGAGGTGGTGAAATGCACCTGCAATCTCAGCCCTCTGGAGGTAGAAGGATCAGAAGGATCAGAAGTTCAGAGTCATCTTTAGCTTCATAATGAGTTTGGAGCCAGCCTGGGCTGCATGGGACTCCAATTCAAATATACAGAGGAAATGAGGGGGTGAATCAGCATCTCCTGTAGCTCAGGTTGGCCTCAAACTCACAGTGTAACTGAGGATAACCTTCAACCCCTGTTCTTCCTTGACTCTACCTTCCAAGTGTTGGGATGACCATAACCTTCTGTGCTGCTCATCTGGGTACCACAAACTTGACCTTAACGCCCGGAAAGACCCGGGCAGATCTGTCGAGGCCGTCAAGGCATCCCTATACTCAGGCCCTGGGACAGACGACACACCCAACCAAGAGACATTGCCTAACTGAAGCAGTGAATGAGAAAAGTCTCAGAAGAGGTGTGGTGCGTTTCGTTAGCCTAGAGGTCTGAGGCAGCCCCTCCCGCATCCCTGGGTGACAGTAGCCCTCTTCCCTCTACCCTAGACTCACTCATCCCCATACATCCCCACCCATTCCCACTCCCACTCCCGCCCCAGTCCCAGTTTGGGGCAGAGCAAACTCTAGGGCTTTAAGAGCCGTCAGAAGCCGAGGAGGACGATGATTGGAGGTTTATTCTAACGGGTTGAAGATGAGCTCATCCGTAGCCAATGGCCAGCAGGCACCCGGCTAGACGCCCCCACCCCCACCCCAGGCACCTGCAGAAGGGTGGTAGGCGCGGATCCTTGCGGAGGTGAAGGGACAGCATTAGCCCAGAATCCCGGAGCTGGCACGCGGACAGGTATAGTGTTTGCTCTGCTCTTCAGCCGTCCTCCCAGGCGAGGAGGAGCCTTCCCCTCCCTGTTTCAGCCCGACCTCCTTGTACGTTTCCCAGATTGATGCACCTTGTGCGCCCGGGACGTGCTAGCTTGTCGTCTTAGGCATGCGGCTCGGAGAGCCAGCTGGACCCAAAACCTGCAGCTCTGCACAGCAGGCGTTAGTCACCCCGGGCTCAGGCCTCAAAGATACCTGTCCCGCCAGGCCTGGCAGAGCAGGAAGGCGGCCTTTCTCCATCCTCGGCCTCATCCTGGCCAAGGCACAGGTTCAGGCTCCTTGAAGATGTGTTTGCTTCCCACCTCTCCCTTTATCCCGTATGATAAAAAAACTCCCCCTAGTCATTCTCCAGGTACCCGAGACAGCAGAGGTGGCTGCCGGGCTGCTGTGAGGGACAGAGATCATGCTGCTGGTTGCTTTTTCTCTGCCCCTTCCCGTCTGGCAGCTGCCGCTCTAATCCCTTGGGCCACTGGTGTCACACGCTGCTTAGGGAGATATTGGTGTGAGGTCCTTGGGAGGGCGCGCTGGCCCCCTGGTCTTCCGAGAGTCAGGAGGAAAAAGCCAGCGAGTCACCCTGGCAGTCACTGAATTAATTCCCCGTTAACTGTCACTCAGTCATCTTATCTGCTCATGGGCTTTGAGCCTGCTCACTGCTTGAAGGATAAGGGGACTCCTCACTAACCCACTCCTGACCTCAGGGGCAAAGCTAACAAGAAGCCTAGACATGTGTTTTGTCTAGGGGAAAGATCCCACTGAGCTGAAGCCCAAGGCTGGATGACATTCCACATGGAAAGCAGGGAGGGGGGGGGAGAAGTGAAGTGGGAGACCAGGGGGAGGAGAAGTTTTGCGCCCGTGTTTGCCTTCCGTATGCTTCCTGTGTGCCAGACACTGAGTTTGCGCTGCGGACGCCCCTTGAAGGCGGCCGTGGACCACAGGCATCCCCAGCTCTCTCTCAGTGCTCCACACAGCATCCCGGGGAAGGACTTGAGGAACTGAATCTGAATGGAAACGAAAAGAAAGGGCCCAGCTATGTTATTCTGTCATGACCACCCCCGAGGTAGAACTGGGCTCAAGGAAGGAACCTTCCCAACGTTAGCTCGACTCCCTCCAGCCTCTGTATGCGGATACCAGGCTCTCCGATGTTTAGTGGAGGACGCTGGAATGCAGGTAGGGGTGTGACTCCCAGCAAGTGCCTCCCTACTGCATTGGCTTCTTGCAGGTCACAGCTGCAGGGCCGCTATGAGCCTGGTAGCCTGTGAATGTCCACATGGCCCAGGCCCGGAGCCGGAGCCCTGTTCGCGAGCTCGGTCCCAGGCCTGCCTGTACCTGGAACAGATTCGTAACCGGGTAGCTGCGGGGACGCCTGACGTGACCAAGCGGGACTACCTGGTAGATGCAGCCACTCAGATCCACCTGGCCCTGGAGCGAGATGTCAGCGAGGATTACGAGGCCGCCTTCAACCACTACCAGAACGGTGTGGACGTGCTGCTCCGCGGCGTACACGGTGAGGGCGGGGATGCGCGGGGACAGAGGTGGGCAGGGAAGGGCCAGTGAAGGGTCCTTTGTCTGTCCATACTTGGGGTGTGGGGCACTGTACTAACCCTGCCAGGCCTCCATGAAGGGCAATAATGAGGACTTGAATGTATTAAGGCATTCTACATAGCAGGCACCACTAGGCTTTACCTATAGTAACTCATTTGAGTTTCACGTTAGTAGACTTTTTAATTGCATGTAGTTACAACTATACAGGAAATATTACCATCATTAGCTGAGATAGGTCTTTCACTATTACCCAGGCTGACCTTCCTATCTCAGCCTCCTGACTGCTCAGACTACAAGTGTGTGCGACTCTGGGCAAGAACTAATTTTCATACTGAATTTTCCAGATGAAGAAATTAAGGCACCGAGTGGTCAAAGAGCTTGTCCAAGGGTCCGCACAGGCTCCACAGCTACCAAGGGGTACATGGGGAGTTGGAATGTTTCAGCTCCTGTGGCTGTGTCCTTGGCCCGCTGCACCTGGCTGGCCATGGAGCTGGGCTGGGCAGCGGCCCTCTGGAAGCTTGCACTCCAGATGACGGGAGAGGGCTGGCGCTCAAGTGCATATGTGATTATAGTCCTGGGTGGGGACAGCGTGGAGGGGAAGAGGAAAACTGAGGTCAGATGGACCTAGCAAGGGACCTTTTCTAGACGTGAGGACCAGTGGGGCTGTTGAGGGACAGCATGTGTGCTGTCCAGTGGAGGGGGAGGGGGTCCAGGCCTATGGGGGAAAGGGGAGGGCTGATCAGGGCAGATTGAGACATTTCCATGCTGGGGCCAGTTTGAGATGCTAGAGCCTTGTGGCCAGGCTGTGGTAATCAGGGTCACTCCAACTCTCCGTTGAGGAGACCCTACCATGTCTGGGCTGCAGGAGTGCCTGGGGCATGCCTCTTCCATCTGGTCTGGTCTCCATCCTAGCCTTTTCCATGACGGGCAGAGATAGAGGAAGCACTGTATTCCAGAAGCTGTTCTGAAGGAAAAGGCCATGCAAATCTCCACCTCATTCCTTCCCCGGATATGAGAACAGCTAGTGAGGTGGTGGGTGCCAGCTATAAAGAGCAGTTGGCAGCCGCTGCTCTCGCCCCAGAGCAGGAGCCAGGGGATGAACCAGCTAAAAGTGTCTAGGAAATAGGAGCCATTGGCTGTGATAGGCAGAGACAGTTAACAGGAGCTGGGATCTCAGCCCACCAGTAAAGCCCAGGACACAGGGCAGGGGTGCAGTCCTGGCGACCACAGATGGTGACCCCACCCCCCACAGTTGACCCTAACAAAGAGAGACGTGAAGCTGTGAAGTTGAAAATTACCAAGTACCTACGGAGGGCAGAGGAGATCTTCAACTGCCACCTGCAGCGGACACTGGGCAGTGGAGCCAGCCCAGACACGGTGAGGAGGGCCTCCCGGGATCCCTAGGGAAGAGACAGCCGCTTCCCACCCCTGTTCCCTTCCTGCTTCAGGGAGGAGTGGGTAGTGGAGGGTGTGAGTCCAAGTGTGAGCCAGGGGTGCCCTCCCATCCTTCCTCTCTCTCCCACACCCTCGCACCTCATCCAGCCTCACAGAGCACTTGGCATGCGTGTCACAGATGCCCACCCCAGTTTGCGTGTGACTCTACGCCATTCCCACATGTACACTCAGTGCCTCTGGATTCGGTTTCTGTTGAGTAGGCACACCATAAGTATTAGGAATGCGCGCGTGCACACATACATGCACACACACACACACATACACACACGAATACCAAACGCATTCTCCAAGCCACAGACCTGCACACTCCTTGGCTCACTGCGTCCTGAAGCTTTTCCTTTCACAAAAGTTGTCTAAACTTTGAGGCTGAGACCCGGATGTTCCACCCCAGACCCTGAGAGCATCTGCCTTTTGTAGACAAGGCTTTTGAGAAGGGGCTTCTATGTCCCTGAGAAACACTCCTAGCATGGCCGGATAGGGGCTGAGCAAAAAGTCAGCCTGAGTGCCTTGAGCCAGTGTGCCCCCAAACTCTAGGTCAAGAGCACTCCTCTGCTCAGTCTGTCCCAGGGAGGCAGGCTCTTCCTGGGCTCCAAGTCCTACCCAATGCTGCGCTCTCCTGGAATCCAGATGCGTCAGCCCACAGCCAAAGCTGAGGCAGCCACGGCTGAGGCCTTGTCTCTTTCCTCTGCAGGGCTTCAGCAGCCTGAGGCTCCGGCCCATCCGCACACTGAGCTCTGCTCTGGAGCAGCTGAGAGGATGCAGGGTGGTTGGGATCATTGAGAAGGTGAGCGAGCACCGAGTGTGGGAAGGAAAGATGTGTGCAATCAGGAGTGGTGGGGGAGGGACTGGCAGGATGGAGGGAGGGCGGGGTAGGAGGGAGGGTGGGGTAGGATGGAGGGCGGGGTAGGATGGAGGGCGGGGTAGGATGGAGGGCGGGGTAGGGTGGAAAGTGTAGCAAGTTTTGTTGAATCACCCACCCCCAAATAATGACACAGACTTATTAATTAGGAAAGCTTGGCCTTAGCTTAGGCTCATTCCCAACTAGCTCTTATAACATTCTGCCGTGTGTGTGTGTGTGTGTGTGTGTGTGTGTGTGTGTGTGTGTGTGTTAACCTCTCTTCCATTCTGTATGTTCAGTTTGTTCTGCATCTTGCCATTGTCTCATGCATGCCTAGATTAGTCTCCTGAGTTCCTCTCTGCCTGGAAGTCCCGCCTATTCTCTTCTGCATAGCTATTGGCCCGTCAGATCTTTATTAAACCAATCGCAGCAGCACATCTGCACACAGTGTAAACAAAAATTCTGCAATGGGAAGGCATCTGCAGCTACTGTCTGTATCCGGAGGGTGGTGTGCGGCCTCAGAGGGGACGGCAGCCGAATCCAGTGGTTCCTCCTCTCTCCCAAAATGCACCAGCCAGGTTCTAGAGAGGAAACCGAGGCTGAGAAGAGGCAGCAGTCTGCTCTCTCTACCCTCCAGCTAGAGACCATGGGAGGGGCTATGCCCAGGGCCTCTTCAGTGCTCACCGCCCTGATCACCCCCATTTCCCACAATCCTCCACGTTACATTTACTCTGCTGGGGGAGGGGGACTGTAGCCCCCGAGTATCCCTGACACCCACCGCTGAGCACTTCCTGTGCCGACAGGTCCCTCTCCCAGCCTGTCCAGCGGGCACACGCACTTCTGAAGTGTGAGGTGGCTTATATTGTCCACGGCCTCGGCAGCCCCACTCTTTCTCCTCTGGTTGGGACTCCTGCCCTCATCCGACCCCATCTTGCACCTTTTTCCTTTTCTTTAATTCAGAGTGGACGAGAAGACCAGCCATGATGGCCCAACCCCTACTAAAATGGAGAAATCTGAGGGACAAAGAGGTCCTCTCAGGGCTGAGCCTGTATCAGATTGCCCTCTGCCTCTAGCCTAGGACTCTCTAAACAGTTCTTTCCCAAACTGGCCATTTATGGGAGTCATCTGGTGAGTTTCTCAAATATGTAGATGTCAGGACTCCATCCCAAACCTATGGAATCAGAATGTCTAGGGTTGCACCCAAGAATGGATAGTTTAAAACACTGGGCAAGTTTGGGGGCCCTGGGAGCCCATAGAGAAGGGAACAGCGCTGTGTGATGCTCTGCCACACAGTGGGGCAGCCTGCTGCCTGGGGGGAGGGCCTGGGTTTGGCCAATGAGCAGTAGACAAGCCCTCTCGCAGCTCTGAGAACTGGTTTCCTCATTAGTAAAGTAGGGTGGGGATTTCTACCCCAAAGGGGTGATCTGGGAAGGAAATGAAACCATTTTTGGGAAAGGCCTGGCACCTACTAAGACATTCATGCGGGGTCGATGGCTCTGAGTGCAAGCTACAAGAGTGGGAGGTCCTAGTTCCCATCTCTAGGCCCTTGCTCCAGATGCTTCTCCCGGGTCCCTGGAACAGGCCCCAGGCCCAGTGAAGGTCCAGCCGCTTTCTCATCTGTCCAAGTCTCCCCTCCCATTGAACTGCCCAGTGGCCACAGTCTGACCTTGGCTAAGCACAGCTGCTCTCACAGACAGACCTACACCATTTCTCTGAGTGAGATGCCAGTTATGAAGGCAGGGTGCAAACTAAGTAAGTTTGGGAAACAGTGAACTGAAGTTACACCACTTGGACTTCAATTTTAGGCATTCGCAGAGCCTTTGGGGTGTGCATGGATAGGAGTCCCCAAGGGAATCTGTGCCTCAGAATGCTCCGATTTGCTCAACCCTGGGACATCGCGTGTGCAAAGCATTTTAGACATCAGTGCCAAGGCCTGTGCAGGGGAAGTATGCATCCAGATCTTTAGGCTGCTTCTCTCAGATACTCAAGTGGTGAATGCCAGCTCCCTCCTGGGGTCTTTCTTCCTCCCCTGGGCTATGCCCAAGCCAAGGACAGTTATTTCCCCAAATTAGGAAGGTGTGAGGGCCATCGATCTAATTCCACAGCTCTTCCCAGACAGATGCAGGGGGCAGAGCCAGGCCAGTGCCTGCTGGTGGCAGCCCTCGGGCTCAGGAAGAGAGCCAAGGACAATCCCGCGTCTCTTAAAGGCGCTGGCTGTGAAAGGGATGGAGGCAGTCAGGGAGTGGTGAAGTGAGCACGTCAGGGACTAGGTGGGCAGCCAGGATGCTCGGGGGCTGCAGCAGGGATTGTCCCCACCTCCTCTGGACCTCCTCAGAGAGCCATGTCTGAACTGGGCATGGGGAAGAAAGGCCTCCTGAGGTGTTTCTTGTTTTATTTGGCTCAGATACAAATGGTTTTTGTTTGTTTGTTTGGTTGGTTGGTTGGTTGGTTTCTTTGAGATAGGGTTGTCTGTGTAACAACCCTGGCTGTCCCGGAACTCACTTTGTAGACCAGGCTGGCTTTGAACTCACAGAGATCTGCCTGCCTCTGACTCCAGAGTGCTGGGGTTAAAGCCGTGCGCCACCATGACCAGCTTGTTTTGTTTTTTTAATTGTTATCAACATTTTCAAATATGTAGATTTCATATAAACGTCCGCATTTCAAGCTTCTTCTGGAGAAAAAGATCAGATCTGGAGATGTGGGGCTCACACTCCCGTGTAGTACTAGGGAGCCAGGGAGGAGCTGCCCACGTCAGGGCCCTGGCCTTGTCCACTCTACTCTAGCTTTGCTTGAGCGTTTTTGAGTTTAAGAATCTGTCTGAGCTGGGCATGATATCTTTAATCCTAGCACTGGGAGAGGCAGAAGCAGGTGGACCTCTGTGACGTCGAGGCCAGCCTGGTCTACATAACAAGTTCTAGGTCAGTCAGGGCTTATAATAGAAAGACCTTGTCTCAGGGCTGGAGGGATAGATCATCAGGTAAGAGCACTGGCTGCTCTTCCAGAGGTCCGGGTTCAATTTCCACGTGGTAGCAAGCAAAATACACATGCAATGCAAATAAAAATAAGAATAAATAAATTATATTTAAAAGACCCCTGTCTCAAAAGCAAACAAGAACACCTTTGAAGCTTTGGGACCTGTTAGCTTCATGAGAGGTTCCACCGAAGATTTAGATTCCTTGTGTGTCTTTAAAGAAAGGCCTCACTGCGTTCCAGCAACGTTGTATCACCATGCCCCCAGAATTCCATCTGCCTTCCTTCTTTTCTTCCTGCGTGTGGTGTATATGCATGTGTGCCCATACGTGTGTCCATGAACACACACAGGATGTCCTTCTGTCCTCTCTCCTATATTCCCCTGGGGCCTTGCGCTGAACGGGCTGGTGGCCAGCACGCCCCAGTGACCTTTTGTCTATGCCCCCTAACAGTGCTGCTACTTGCATGGCTGCTGAAGACCTGAACCCAGGTTTCATACCTTCACAGTAAACACTCTTGCTCACTTAGCCATTTCCCTAGCCCCTTGGGAGTGTGTGTGTGTGTGTGTGTGTGTGTGTGTGTGTGTGTAGTGACCACTACTGTCTTCCTCCTTCCCAGTTATAAGGCTAGCATCCCATTTGTGGATTAGTTAAAATCCAGTGCTCTGTGTCTCAGCTCTACGGTTCCAGCGCACAGAAAGCTCTGCTTGGTGGTGCTGTATTTTAGTAATTGTCCCCACTTTTGAGAAAGAGTCTCATGTAGCCCAGTATGGCCTCAAACTTGCTAGGTAGCCAAGGATGACCTTGAACTGATTTTCCTGCCTCCGTATCCTAAGTACTGGGATGGCAGGTGTATCCCCAATTTATACGACACTGAGGATCAAACCCAGGGTTTCATGTTTGCCGGGCAAGCACTCTACCAACCAAACAACACCCCCAGTCATTAATAATCATCTTAAAGGAAACAAAGCAGAGTTTGTCAGGTGCTGGGTATTCTGTCCCCCAACCCGCTTATCAGAGGAAGGGGATTTTTTTTTTTTCATTTGTTTGGTTTTATCGATGGGGAAATGCCTGCTCTGCTGGGAAGACACGGAAAGAGAAGAGAGCTCAAAACAAGAAAGAAAGTAGGTAGAGGAAGGAAAAAAAATTAATTCACCATCGTACCTAACTTCAAGATAATTGCTGTTAATTCTTAAGTCTAATTCCTTCTGTAAAATGGGCTTTAAGGTGTTTTAAATACGGAGGTTTCTGGCTCCCATCCTTGGCTGGGTTTCAGGCTGTAAATCAGAGGGCTTGACTAAGAAGGAGGTGGCGGGGAATCCCACTTGGGGAATCATCAGGGGTGCCAGTACTTGTGGGAAACTTTTCTTAAATGACCCCAGCTTTTACTGCCTCCCCAGATATTGCACAAGTTTGGTCAGGGAGCCAAGGCCCGACTGAGTTAGGTCTCTAGCCATGAGAGGGCGACCTCTTGTGGTCAAAAGCAATACTGCTGCCCTGATGTAGGAAGGAGGTGGTGCTGTTCACACAGCCCCTGCTTTCTCTTTACCAGTGATGGAGAAACTAAGGCCCAGCGTAGCAGGCAATTACTCATTTTAGGAGCAGGCTGTTTGTATTCAAATTCTGATGCTACCACTTCTTAGCAAAAGGGCTGTGAGTCATTTCACTTCTCAGAACCCCAATTTCATCAATAAAGTGGCTCACCCCCACCTGGACAGGAGAACACAATCAAATAAGCACAGAATAAACACATTATAGCCAATGCTTCTTTCTTCTACAGTGACATGGATAATGACCATGAATTTATACTTGGATTTTCTGCTTTTATCAACAAGCACAATGATGCTATAAAGTATGAACTGCTGTGATCCCATTTTTAGGGCACTTAGGGAAATGGCTCAATTGATGGAATAATTCCTGTGAAAACATGAGGACCTGAGTTTGATTCCCAGAAATCACATTAAAAAAGCTGGGCATGGTGGGGCACATGTCTGTAACCCCAACACAGAGGAGGTAGACAGGCAGATCCCTGGAGCTTGCTAGTCAGCCAACCTAGCTGAATAGGTGAGCTCCAAGCTCAGTGAGAGGCTCTGCCTCAAAAGATAAGATAGAGAGGGGCTGGAGAGATGGCGCAGAGGTTAAGACCACTGCCTGTTCTTTTTATTATTATTATTATTATTATTATTATTATTATTATTATTATTATGTATACAACATTCTGCCTCCATGTATGCCCACATGCCAGAGGAGGGCGCCAGACCTCTTTACAGATGGTTGTGAGCCACCATGTGGTTGCTGGGAATTGAACTCAGGACCTTTGGAAGAGCAGGCAATGCTCTTAACCGCTGAGCCATCTCTCCAGCCCCCATGCCTGTTCTTTCAGAGGTCCTGAATTCAATTCCCAGCAACCACATTGTGGTCCACAACTGTCTATGAGATTCGGTGTCCTCTTCCGGCATGTAAGCACACATGCAGATAGAACACTGTATAAATAATAATAATAATAATAATAATAATAATAAACCAAGATGGGGCCTGGAGAGATGACTCAGTGGTTAAGAGCTCTTCCAGAGGACCTGAGTTCAAGTCCTACCACCCACGTGGCAACTCATAACTGTCTGTAATGCCAGTTCCAGGGGACCCGAACCCATGGCAAAACATCAATGTACATAAAATAAAATCTAAACAAAATTAAGAGAAAAAAACCCAAGATGGAGAAGAATTAAGTAACACACCCAGAATCATCAACTCTGGCCTACACACACACACACACCACAAGAACAAGGTGCGGCTTGGCAAGTGTATCATATTCTCATAGCTTTCATTGACCAGTGATAATAAACCAGTGATATAGCAAAGGTGTGTTTATAGTTTCTCTTTGATCGGTTTATTTGAAAGTCAGTTAGTTTATTTTCCCAAGCTCTAAAACTGGGGCCCTGGGCTAGGGGATCTAAGAGCTCTCGAATAGCATGGATGCGGTCCTAGGTTCAACCCCCAGTACAGTAAAGAAACAATCCAGGGCTCTTTCCCCTCCTCCATCCCTAGGCTCCAGCTTCCACCACTGTCTAGCAGTGTGGGCCCAGCTTCCCTCTCCGGCCAGCCTGTCTGGTCAAGTAGTCACATCAGGGTGCTGTCTGGCTGTCCTCGTCCTGGCAGAATCCTGCCTTCCTGCTCTGCCACAGCCACTGGCCACTCCTTCCCTCTCCTGCAGCTGGGTCCACCCTTGCCTGCCCAGGAGATGATTCAATGGCACAACTCCAAACAAGGCTCAATGCTGAGTGGACCACTGCCTGCCAACAGAACCACCCTAAGAAGGAGACAGCTACTGCTAAAGGGCAGGGCAGCCTCAGGTGGTTGGTGCGCACAGTCACACTTGATTTATTTAAAGGAAGGGAAGCAAGGCAGAGAGGTTCCTGGTCTGTCGAGCCTGCCTCCTTCAGTCTACCTGATCTGGAACCGCATTCTTAAGAGCCTCAGCTCCTTCGCTTGCTTGGGGTTTTGTTTGTTTGTTTTTCAAAACAGGGTTTCTCTGTGTAGCCCTAGCTGTCCCCAGAATTCTCTCTGTAGACCAGACTGATCGTGAACTTAACAGAGGTCCTCCGGCCTCTGCCTCCAAGTGTTGGGATTAAAGGTGGGTGCCACCGCCGCTCGACTGGTTTGGGTTTGAGACAAGGGCTCACTGTGTAGACTTGGCTGGCCTTGGATTCACAGAGATCTGCACGTTGCTGCCTTTCTCAGTCTCTGCTAGGGTTAAAGGCATGGACCACCATGCCTAGCCTAGCTTCACTTGTAAGCAAAGCTCGGGAGAACTGACTAGCCATTAGGTCCTTCAGCCATGCCCCCTTCAGTCCCTGCCAGGAGGCTGGACTCTGGCCAAAGCCTGCAGTGGAGGATTGACTAGGCCTGAACTTGGGCCACACAGGGCCTAGCTAGTGTGGGTAGTTGGGGGTGGAGTGTCCTAATGAGGGTTCTGGCCCACACAACAGAGGGTGGTACTTACACCACTTGCCGTCATACGTGAAGTACCTACTTCATCCTTCCATTTTGCAGAACTGTGGGGACCCCGAGTTAGACAAGGTGATCCCTGCTCTTGTGGAGCTCACATCCGGGCGGGGACAGGGGGCTAATGTGAGAAAGCTCCCCTGAGGATAAGCCCAGAAATCACTCAAGATAGGGTAGGCGTCCCAGATGCTGAAGGAAAAAGCACCAGAGATCTATGAAACTTTGGGCATAGCAAGGGTTGGCCGCTAGGACAGAATGGATGTCAGCCTCAGGACATGGAAAGCCCAAGGATCAACAATGCCTTGACCGGTGCCTCCTTTGGCAGGTGCAGTTGGTCCAGGACCCAGCAACGGGAGGAACCTTCGTTCTGAAGGCAGGTGTTGCTCAGCTGCTGCCGCGTAGCAACTCCTCTTGGAACTGTCGCAGAGCTCTTGAGACCACTGCCCACCCTTTCCCCAGAAGGCACAGATGAGGCCCATGCTCCCTCCAAAGCCAAGGCTGCTTGTTCTCCTGGGCACTTCCCAAGGCTTTGCCTCCACACTATCTCATCCTCAGACATCAGACTCCGTGGGGCTATGGGGCAAGGGCTGGGCCAGGGACTGGGAGAAGCAGTTGTTGCTCTGCCTGGCTTCCGATCCAGATCCTAGTGTCCTGAAGAGTCATGGGCGCTGTCAGCTCATGGACATACCCTGTCCCCTCCCCAGAGCCTTCCCAGATGCCACGTGGTGAGCCGGGAGCGGCTGACCATCATCCCACACGGCGTCCCCTACATGACCAAGCTGCTGCGCTACTTTGTGAGCGAGGACTCTATCTTCTTGCACCTGGAGCATGTGCAAGGTGAGGGGACCTGCGGGGCCCTGTCAACTCCCGAGAATCGGGGCATTCCTGTTTCCCACACCCCAGAAAAGGATGCCGAGCCCCGAGGAGGAATGCCGTTTGCTCCAGATGTGTGGCACAGACAGGGAACCCAGTCTTTCTGAAGGCTGAGGGCAGGCAGGGCCAGGCTGCTGTGAACTTGTGTGTGGTGCTGAGGGAGCAGGGGACATCCTGTGGAGGATGTCCCCACCCTAGGCAGGGGACGAGGGCATTTATTCAGCTGCCATCGTGTTACCATTTCCTTTAGTCTCTTTGCACTTTCCCAGTCACTGCCCCTCCCCGGTGGCCACAGAGCGGCTGGGAACTAAAGCTGTCAAGACGGGAACTGAGCTGTGTGGCCGCTATTTAGTGACTTTATTTTTTTTAAATGTTTATTTATTTATTATGTATATAGTATTCTGTCTACATGTATGCCTGCAGGCTAGAAGAGGGTACCAGACCTCATTATAGATGGTTGTGAGCCACCATGTGGTTGCTGGGAATTGAACTCGGGACCTTTGGAAGAGCAGGCAATGCTCTTAACCGCTGAGTCATCTCTCCAGCCCTATTTAGTGACTTTAAAATGTGCGGCACACCCTCGGGTCATGGCACAGTCGCTGTAAATCCATGCTTGGCTCTTTACCCTTCGGTGACAGCACTCTCCCTAAAACGAAAGAGAAAGTCTGAACACTGGTGCTCATACTTGGGCCAAGTTCACCAGCAATCGGGGTTGTGGGCTGTGAAGCCGAGCGCCCTGGAAGTGGGTCACAGCAGGAGAGCGGGTGTCCTATGTCACAAGGTGGAAGAGCAGGGAGAGGAGAAACAGGGGGCATGCTGACATGGGGGTGGTTGGGCCCGGACCTAGTGTCCACACTTCTCCTTCCCTGTTTGGCCCAGGAGGCAGGCTGTGGTCACATCTACTCTCCCAGGCCCACTTTAAATATGCTGGGCTCAAGTCTGGCTCTGCTCAGGAGAAGTCAAAAGTCCAGCTCAACACCCGCCTCTGCCTCGTGACCCCAGCAAAGCTCCACACTTTGGGGCAGGACAGAATCCCAACGGAGCCCCCATGGACTTCTCAGAGCCTTCCCCCAGTCAAGGGGGTCCCGTCCCTCCAGCCTCAGGAAGAGGCTGACAGTGAACCTTCGGCCAGGACCAGTCCTTTCTGCTTTTCGGACCTCACAGAAGCTCCATGTGGCCACTCACGCAGCCAAGTCAGGCGAGCCGGCCAGAGTTCGAACACTGCACCCAGCCGGAGGCTCCACTGGTTACGGGAAGGGGCTGACCGGGTGCTAGGGGTCTATGGCCGAGGCAGAGGCCAGAACCCCCCATCGGCAAACAGGGCCAGCTTGGGGTGTGGACGAGCCGTCTGGAGCTCGAGGGAGGAGCAGGTGAGGCAGTGGGCAGCCGAGATGCTCGTGGCCTTGGAGGCACTCCATGAGCAGGGGATATTGTGCCGCGACCTTAACCCACAGAACCTGCTTCTGGATCAGGCAGGTAGGAGCCCTAGCCCCCCTGCTCCAAGTCCACTCCTTGGGAGGAACCCAGAGTCAACAGGACCCCCAAGGTTATAGGGCTACATGTCGTCCCTCCCCACGCCCCTTCCTCATCTGGCCCCTTATGAGAACCTGAGCCTGGGGTTGCCATTCCGGAAACACTCCCCAGGCCCTTAGGGAGACTGCACTTGGGATGACCTTTAACCCCTAACATGACTGTATTGGGGGAAGCCTTGGGACCGCTTAGGGATTTCAGCTGCTCAGTGATGCTACTTTCAACCTTTGCCCCACCATTCCTCCCTACACACCCCGGACAAGGTCACATCCGACTCACGTATTTTGGCCAGTGGTCAGAAGTGGAGCCGCGTTGCAGCCAGGAGGCTGCAGACAGCCTGTACAGTGCTCCAGGCAAGAAGGGAGTTGGGGGAGGCTTCTAGATCTTGGGTGCCTTTTGTGTGGGTTAAAGACAGGGGAAGGGCAGTGGGTACCAGAATGTCACCAGAAAGGGCCATCTTACGTGTTCTTGTTCTTGCAGAGGTCGGGGGGATTTCTGAGCTGACGGAAGCCTGTGACTGGTGGAGCTATGGGTCACTTCTGTATGAACTGCTCACGGGAACGGTGAGTAGCTGGGCAGGGTATAGAGCTCTGCTGGGGACCACAGAGGAAAGGCCGAGCAAAGACTTCTTAGCCAGCCAGGGTCTAAACAGAGGCCACCTGGTTCTCCGTGCCTGACTTTTGGATGGTCCTTCTACCCACCAGACCATCAGCAATAGAGGAAGTCACTCCCACCAGGCCGTCAGAGCACACGAGGGACTGGTCTACAAGAGCTAGTTCCAGGACAGGCTCCAAAACCACAGAGAAACCCTGTCTCGGAACAAAAAAGCAAAATACACACACACACACACACACACACACACACACACACACACAAAAACCAAAAAACACAACAACAACAACAACAAAAAGATAGTCAATTTCTATGAATTACATGAGCTGGGATAGCCAGGGGTTTAGGGAAGAGCATGCCTGGCTTGAGGGTTGGAGAAGCCGCAACCCTTCCCCGGAAGGTTTCTGGATCATGTCCTAAATCTCCTCCTCCTCCTATTGTTCACCCCCACTCACCCTCCAAGGCTGTGATCCCTAGACCTGGAAGGTGGGAGAAGGTTCTCACATCCCAGCCAGCCCACTCGCAGGCTGGGGAGCTGGCTCAGTGGGAAAAATGCCGGCTGCTCCAGGATGAAGGCTTGAGTTTAGATCCCCAGCAACCTGTGAAAGTCAAGTGAAGTCCAGTGAGACAGAGAGCAATAGAGGAAAGACTTCCATCTCCAGCCACATGCACACAACAGAGAGAGAGAGAGAGAGAGAGAGAGAGAGAGAGAGAGAGAGAGAGAGAGAGAGAGAGAGAGAGAGCCCACTTTTGCCCTCTTTACTCCTCTCAGATGGGCCCAGAACTCCCTGCTCTGGTTGTTAGGTTGGGGACAAGTGAGAGGACAGACTACATCTGAGCAGGAAACAGTTTGCGTGGCCCCAGCAAACTACTGTGTGACCCAGAGACCTGATGCACGGGGCTCTGAGCACCCTTTAGACAAATACCCGAGGCCCCACGTGGCTTCCCCGCCTCTCTTCTCGCTGCTCATCCTTACCTCGCATACTTCTGCTTCTCTCTACATTCCTGCCTTGCTCTCAGTGGCTGAGGGCCAGGCCTGCCATCTCATGTGTGGCTCGTGGAACCTTTTTTTTTTCTGCAAGGAAAGAAGTTCTAGGGCTGTTCCCAATAGTGTCCACCCTAAAGACAATGGAGAAAATGCTTCCAACTAGCTGCGGGTTCAAATCCCAATGCTAACCCAAGTCCCCTTTCCTGAACCACTTTCTTGTCTTTAGTGTCAAGGGTCTAGCTTTGTGTCTGGGTCATCAGTAGATTCTAGCAAAAGGCAACTATCAACAGCATCTTAGCCCTGCAATGTGCCATGGGAGTGGGCCAAGTCCTGGCTGCCACTAGGGTGTAAGCTTCCCCAAAGTGCCCACTTCAGTGCCTCTCCCTGTGTCCCCCTCCTCTCCAGGCCCTGTCCCAGAGCCACCCCTCAGGATTCCAGGCCCACACCCAACTTCAGCTGCCGGAGTGGCTCAGTCGCCCAGCAGCCTCTCTGCTGACAGAGGTGAGGTACTGGCTGGCTCATTGGTATGTGGGCAGCGGCGGAGGTGGGGGGGGGGGGATGGGAGGAACCACCTGTCCAGTGTAAGCTGAAAAACACTAGGGCAATAGGGCAATAAATGCCCACGCATGCCTGTGCCAGCTACCACCAGCATCATGGGGAAGGGGAATGAGCGCCCTGAGGGTTGGTGATAGGAGTTCCAGGAGGTGGGTGCCGACCTCCACGATGGGGAAAGGAGGCAGAGCGCTGATCCTTTCCCCACAGCTGTTGCAGTTCGATCCCCAGCGGCGCCTTGGTGCTGGAGGTGGTGGCGCCAGCAAACTCAAGTCCCACCCCTTTTTCAGTACTATTCAATGGAGCCGACTAGTGGGGTAAGGGGTAAGTGGACAAAGACGATGGCCTAGTTCTTGATTGTCTGCCACCTGGCTGGCCCTTCATCAATGGACCTCAGGGGACGAAGGTGGGGCGGTAGCTGCTCTACCTGCTCAGAACCTGCTTGGGCCTCAGACGGGTGACTGCTTCTGTCCTAAAGAAGTCAGCCCCTGTAACTGTTGGGAGAGGCGGTGAGGTGCACCCTGCTGAGCAACCTGCACCCATCAGCAACAGATGCCTGTTGGACACACACCTTGCACCGTTGGCTGGGACCTCTCATGTTAAAGGCTGCCTTCTGTTGCTCTAGCTCCAAACGTCTCAACACCAGCCGAGCCGACTGACACACTTGGTGACACACACCAACCACTTAAGACATCTCAGGACACTGATCCCATGACTCAGTAGACCCAATCCAAGACTGTCCTGGGTCCATTTTCGCAGGCTGCTTCTACCAGATGTTTGTTCCCACAGGGGTTGGGACACTTGGAAGTAGATTATTCTGTAGGGTTAAGTGGGGAGAGGTGGGGAAGTATGGCCCACTGACTTTGGAGAATCAACTAAGGGGAAGAGATGTCAGTAGGGTTACAAGTGGGTAAGAATGCACTTTTAGCACTCAGACTGAGTTTGCAAACAGAATAAAGAGCTTTATTCTCTGGCTGGCTCTCGTGTGTCAGAAGGGTCTGCTGCACAGGCCGTCGGCAGTCTTTTCTCAGGCTGGTTGTTTCCATTCTGCATTTTAGTATGAAGTTTATTCAATCCACTGTCCGCTTTTAGAACGAGACACCACAGAACATACGGACTGATTTTACCCAATGCTTTAAGTCCAGTATTGCTGGTTTCTGAAGAACTAGGTAAGTGGGTATCTGCACAGTCCTTTCCCTAGGTTTGAGAACAGGACAACCCAGTCCCCGAAGTGTGGCACATGCAACAAAATTTCACTTGACCAATCTCCAGATCCCTCCAGTGTTACAACACAGGTAGCATCTGGTATAGTTCACCCATCGGGCAACTCACCAAACACGTGTGTGTGTGTGGGGGGTGGCAACACAAGGAGACACCCAATACTCCTGGTGCTGAACCTGGAGCAGAGGACAAGAAAAGCGCAGCTGCTCCATGGCTGGAATCCCAGCAGCCCCTGGGGCTGGTCCACTCTCTAATAAAGCCTTCTCTTTTGGTAGCATCTTTGTCTCATTGCTACAGTCAAAGTGGTCTGAAAGGAAGCAGCCCCTGCTCTTCCAGAACGGGCTCAGGAAAGAGAGGAAAGGGAAGAGATGCCCTAGAAGACCATGGTGCCTGAGGAAAACACTACCTTAATCTCCACAGTGAGCCCATGGAAGCTCCTCCTCAGAAAAGAGGTTCTGGAGAGGTTTAGAACCGACCACTAGAGCTGGCTCACAGGTGTAGGCTGCTGTGGTAGACCATGCAAACCAACTTCTGCCACTGCTTGAAGTACAAGCCACTTCGTTTGGAACACCAAGGTCCCAGCTCTGACAGCAGCTATTCCAGAAGTTGCTGGAAACATTGTATCTGGTAGCATGTCTAGCACTGAGCCTGACACACAATTCACTGAACCACCTACCAGCTTCCTCTTCCTGCGACAGGGGGCCTCACTGCAGGCAGGATCAACAGACCAGGTTCTGTGTGAAGGCTGGGAGGGTCCAAGTCTACCCTCCATCATACCCATTATCCCTTGTGGTCACCCTAAAGTGACCAACCCTGTCCTGTCCCTCACATACTACTGCTCCTAGGCAACCTCTGTTTATTCTAACCACAAACATCTTGGTACACATGTGACAACTAAGTTCAAGTGAAATTAGAAGTGTTCATGTCTCTCCACTCCATCTCAGAAATAACACAAGTCCCTCAAAGGGGCAACTGTTCCCCGGTGTTTTAAAGGGCTTCACATAGGAGCTACATCTCTTCAAGAGTTGGCTTGTCACAACTGTCGGGCTCCCTGAAAGGAACCCAGGGTACTAAGTGGTTTGTGGGTGCCCCTGGCTGACAGTTAAGTTAGCATAGCCCTAACATGTCTAAAGTATGGGATGGGGGCCTCAGGACACCACAAGATAGCAATTCAAGAATAAGTACTTTTCAATGATAAAGACACTGTGGCTGTACAACCTCAAGGACCAAAAGGAGCACAGATGCTGGAACCCTGTTTGAGAACATTTGCCCTTTAATTTTCATTCAAAATCAGCCTCTTTAAATATTTTAGCTACAAGTTCTGGATAGTGAAGATGTAGTAGCAGACGCCACAGGCACTCAATACTGGCCTCTCCCCCTCCCCCCAGCTTGTCCTGGATGACAGAAAAAAAGGCATTGAACACTTTGGCCCCGTGTCAACTGTCAGCAGCCTCAGGCCTCAGTGCAGAGGACACAAGGCCTAGGAGCTTCCTTCCATACCTAGCCACTTGCAGTTTCCCATGCTTCAAGAAATTCCAGTGATTGTGCCGGCACCCAAAGGGCAGTACCTTGGAGATGACATCAGCCCTTCCATCACTCTGGACTGACTCCCTAGGCTGGATCCCATCACAGTCCATCCTCCCCTGTATCTGTGTCCTGCTAGGGGTGCCAAGACCTTGCTCCCTACAAGCCACACCCAGAAAGGGAGAGAACAGCCCCTTCCCATCACGTGCTGATTCCTCCTTGAATTTGAGAACTCTAGCCAACCTGATCTGGTCAGAGCCAGTCCCTTCACCAGGCTCTTCCCTCACTCACCGCCATGATGTACTAAAAATCTGCTCTAAATGCGAAGTGTCCTAGAATGACCCCAGAACTCTGGGAAGGGTTGGTATGACCATAATTGCATGTGATTACACCAAAATGAATCTTCCCAGTGTGAACTTACAATGAAGCCTGTGAGGCAAGTCAGGGTTCTACTCCTATCTGGGATTATAAAAGGTAACCTCAGGGGACTCTGCACCACATTGCCTATCCCCAAGGCCCCCCGGCCTGGGCTTCCTGGAGAGGTAGAGAGGCACCATGAAGCCACTGACAGCTCAGAATGGTGGTGCATTTAAGCAAAGCAGCGCCTTTGTCTGTGTCCGATACCTCCACACAGGCGGCAGCAGCTGAGAATATGCACAGCTGGAACAGAGGCTCAGAGCCTGGGAGGCAGAGCACCCCCTAGGCATCTCTGGAGAGCACTTTCCAAAGACAAACTTGGTCACATGGTCCCTGGTGGCATCCCTGTAGTATACTGTTCCTGGGGAGAAACAAAACCATCTTTGCAGAGGGCTGGAAGAAAGGTGGGATATCAATGGGCATCCATTAGGGCTCTCACTCTCTCTCAAGAGGACACAGAGAGGGAGAGTCAGAGTCTAGAAGGAACACGAAGGAAAGGCCTGTGAAAGCTGGTTATATAGTGCCCTGGCTTCCTTGCTTGAGGCCAACACTATGGTGCCTGCCTGTCGTCAGGCGAACTCTGGGACTGATGAGGGGACAGGGAGAAGACTGTTTTCAGTTCCTGCATGATTGATAGGTAGGGGGCGTGGCTTCCTCCTAAAGGTCTAGGAGGAGGACTCTTGGATCTTCTACTGCTGCCTTGATTTTTCGGAGGAAGGTCACAGCCTCTCTGCCATCAATCAACCGGTGGTCATAGGTCAGGGCTACATACATCATAGGTCGCACTTCCACCTACAGAGAGGAGAGCAACAGGTTTGTATCCAGATCAGAGAAAGCTCCACTGAGGAAGGGGTGAGAGAACAAAGCCCACACTAGCATTCCCATTCCAAGTCTTCCCTACAGTGATGTCTGGGGTAATGTGGGTTTATTCTGATGACCAAGCTAATCTTTAGTGCAAACCTCTGGGACTCGGAAGCAAGGTCCAAACAAGAAAGCAGGTCCTCAAACCACCTTAAAAGAAATAGGCAATGCCACATTCAACCGGCTAATTTGGTCCCTAAAGAAAGGTTTTCTCTTCAGTTGTGACTGCCAAGAGAGATAGTCTTAAGATACAATCTTTTCTTTTTGTTTGTTTGTTGCTTTTTGTTTTTCGAGACAGAGTTTCTCAATAACTATGGAGCTAGTCCTTGAACTAGCTTTTGTAAGACCAGGCTGGCCTTGAACTCAGAGATCCACCTACCTCTGCCTCAAGAGTGCTGGGATTAAAGGGTGCATCCCGGGGTTACAATCTTTGTTATAGTTTTTCCAGACAGGGTTTCTCTGCACAAGTCTCCACCCCTACCACCGTCCTTGAATTCAGAGACAACCTCTGTCTCCTGAATGCTGGGATTTAAAGGCCGGGCTGAAATTACAATCTTTATTACTATTATTCTTTTTTAATGATGTGGAACCAACGCTAGGCCTTGAGTATGCTAGGCAAGCATCCTACTACTGAGAAATATCCCCAACCTTTTGAAGTTACAATTTAAAGAGGAAAAATGTATGCTATTTTTTTGTTTGTTGGTGTTGTTTTTTGCAACTGGTCACATGTAACACAGGCTGTTCTCAAACTCACTGTAAAATTAAGGATGACACTCAATCTTGGGTCTCTGGCTCTACTTCCTGAATGCCGTAACTACAAAAGCATGTACTATCACACCTGGTGTATCAAACCAGAGGCTCTGAACACACTGGACAAACACTTTACCACTAGTTTATACTCATAGTCTGAGGGGGAAAATTAATCTTCCGAGTTCAAATTTCCTGCTATCTGCCAGGTGTGGTGGCACATACCTTTAACCCCAGAACTCAGGAGGTAGAGGCAAGATCTTTCAATTCAAGGCCAGCCTGGTCTACAGGGAGAGTTCCAGGACGGATAGGGTTACACAGAGAAACCCTGTCTTGAAAATCCATAAATAAAACAAGAATCTCTTATGTATAAAGTTAGGCATGTAACTGTTTTGCAGAAAGAAGACCCACGGTTTTTGGACTCACACATGTTCCAGACACAGCAGTCTCAGAAATCTCTTTATTTTTAAACTAACTTATCTTCCAATGGCTAGCTCAAGCTCTTTGGCCTCAATTCTTGACCTCCCAGAAAACTTCTAAGTGTCTCATACAATTCTATAGCTCCCAGACTGCAGTGCACTGTGCTGTTTCCCAGGGTCTCCCAGTCTACCCATCCTGACTCCCTGGGGACTCTGGCAATGAAGCATGTCAACAAGTCCTAGAGGCCTGGGTGGAGTAGTTAGCTCAGTAGTTCTCAGGCTTTAAGATCAGAACCGTCTGCATGTCTGCTTCTGTAGTTAATTAGCTTTTTCAAAAAAATTTATTTTAATGTGTATGAGCATTTTGGCTACATGCATGCATGTGTACCATGTGCATATCTGGTACCTGAAGAGGACAGAAAAGAGTGCCTGATCCCTCAGAACTGGAATTACTGGTGGCTAATGCTGAAAACTGAACCCAGGTTAACTGCTGATTCATCTCTCTAGCCCAGCGCTTGCTTTTTTAACAAATTCCCACATGACGCTGACATCCACAGATCAGTTTGAGAAGCAGAGCCTTAGCTATCATTGAGTAATTAAAGAAATGGAACTTAAGTCTGAAATTACAGTGAATGCTTTATAATAAGGATTTGGTTAAAGAATTAAAAAAAAAATTCAAAGATAATGGTTCTTACCTTGCCTCCCACAGCCACAGGCCTGTCAAAGATGCCATGCATGCCTAGAATGGCAGACTGAGGGGGGTTGATAATGGGTGTTCCAAACAGTGACCCAAAAACTCCTCCATTGCTAATGGTAAAAGTACCACCATCCATGTCTTCAATGGCAAGTTCGTTCTTTCTGGCCTAAAAACAAGTTTCATAATTGAAACATTAAGTCAAACCAGATTTCTTCACTCCAAAAAAGTAAACTTTAGAAAACTCTTATCTGAGCTCAGTAATACAAACTCTGGCCAACAAGACAGGAATTTAGCTAAGGAGGCTGTGAGAAGAAGCAGGATTCTACAGCCAACATTTCTTCCCAGCAGATCTGACTGCTGAAGTTTCTATCATCTGAGCATGGAAGGCTCTGGCAGATACCTCTCCTGGACTCACACGGCCACGGCTTTTCTAGGTGGCTCTGCATCCTTTGATCCCAGATGCCTGAGCAACAACACCTGTACAGGCTGTGCTCCCTCAACTGCCCAGCAGCTCACCAACATACTCTGCCTACTGTACCTTGTCTCCTAGTTCACTGATGGTCCGTTCAATATCTGCATAGTTCATAGTTTCCACATTCCTAATGACAGGAACCACGAGACCCTGGAATGAAAAGTTGTTTTCAGTTGCAAAATAACAATATTCTTTATAGTTATAATTTCCTTGGTTTAATCCACAGGTCTCCCTAACCATAATACCCTAAACTCACTAGAATTAAAAAGACTCACATGAAGATAAAGGAATGTGGTATGATGTAAAAAAAATTTTACTAATGATCCCTTATAGAATTGTAGAAACGACCCCTTCATGTACTCTAATATAAATAAGGTGAGATCTGTAGTGGTTTGAGTGACAATGGGCCCCATGGGACATATATCTGAATACTTGGTCTGAAGTTGGTGGAACTGTTTAGGAAGATTAAGAGGTGTGTCACTGCAGGCAGGCTATGAGATTTCAAAAGCCGTGCTGTTCCCAGTAACCTAGCTCTCTCTGCTTTGCTGACTGTGTCTCAGCATGCTGAGCTCTCAGCTACTGCTCCAGCAGCATGTCTGCTGCCACACTCCCTGTCACGATGGCAGTGGACTCTGACCCCTCTGAAACTGAAGCCCACCCAATGAACTCTTTCTTTTCTAAGTTGCCTTGGTTGTGCCATTATCATAGCAGTAGAGAAATAACTAAGCCATGATCTAAGCAAGCACTCCCAATTCTTGCCCCAACATACCCTTGGAGTAGCAACAGCAACACTGATGTCAATATAATCTCTATACACCACTTCTTTGGTTGCATCGTCAATCACTATGAAAGAGAAACACATGTTACATACAACCCTTTTGGCCAAGACTAATGAGTTAACAGAGTGAAAATTTTTAGTAGCCAACACAGTGTGGATTGACAAATCAACAAGAAAATAACTACATCACAAGCAACTGGCACTGTCCTTGCTCCCATCTCAATTTATGACAGTATTTGCCAAGCTCTGAATGAGCCTGCACTAGGAGCACAGCTCACAGAAGGTTCCCACAGTGAATGCACATTTTCTATCTATGCAAGCCTTCTCTGAGCAGAGAATAACTAGTTATTGAGTGCTCTGTAGAAAGGCAAAGGAAGGTAGAGGATGCTGCCCAATCCACTTCCTCAGCAAGACAAGGGAATCCTCTCTCTAGAGATCCAGGTAGATGTGGAGGTGGTTTGGCTTTTAAATACGCCATCTTGAAATAGCAAGCCACCTG